AATTTTTATTTTTTGTTTATTAAAAAAAAAAAAAAAAAAAAAAAAAAGCTGTGTTCCCCATTCAAAAACAACCAATCAGAGCCAGGTGTTAGCGCTGTCAATCAATCCTGTGTGCATGCTGCTAAATGGCTGAAAAACTTCACACCCTTTATCTTCTATCATCAGTGGCAACACTAACAAGCCTTCGCATTCACAACTGGCTCTGCTGTCATCAGATCCTACATGAGCATGATTGACAGCGCCAAGACACTCCTCCAAGTTCTGATTGGTTGTTTCTGACTGAGTGGTGTATTTTTATAGTTAGTACTGGGGACACCAGAGTAGCTCAGTTTTTTCTGATTTTCTCAGGTTTTATGACTCAAACTAAATTCATGACATGTTGAAAGTTTTAACAAATGTGCAAACAAAAGACATTTGTTTTTTTGTTTTAAATAAAAGTTACCTACTACAGCTTTAAATTGTACAGGAATCAAAAAATGACGGATTTGGCTGAGAACGATTTATCAGAAATGAACTGGTGTTTCCACGAGTGGCTGAATTCAAAGCACTTTGTAAAACTCGTCCTGCTCCTCATCTTTCCATCTTTTCCTCTTCTCTTTTTTAAAGAGTCCAGGTTAATCTCAGTGTTAACAACAAACCAACAACCTTTTTTAAAGTTTAGGTTTAACATGACATCCTATTTGTAGAAGCGTACATTCCTCTTCTTTCTGCGCTTTTTTAAAGTCTAATCACAGCTTTTACTCCCTCCGCCTTCAGTCTGTCCTTCATGTCCTCCTCCTGAGTCGCAGCTCTGTCATCAGGAAGCTCGGCGGCCGTCTTCCTGTCCCGCCTCCTCTCTGTCTGCCTCGGCCTGCTCGTCGGCCTCCGTCTGGTCCCTCAGTGCCCTCAGCAGGACTTTGAGCAGCACGTTCTCGTTCAGCAGGGTCTCCGAGGCGTCCGCCAGCTCCTGCAGACGCTTCAGCGCCTCGGCCAGCTGCCGGCTCTTCTCCTGCATCTGCCTCTCCAGGCTCTGCTCGATGCCACGGATGTCGAACTTTAGCTGGCGGTTCTCGCGCCACAGTTGTGCAAGCTGCTGTGAGAGCCGCTGGCGGGCGTGGTGCAGGGCCTGGACTTCGTGCTGGAGGGCCAGGAACTCGGCATGGAGGACGGCGCTGGAGCCGGAGCCGGAGCCGGATCCTGGCGCGGCGGCGGACGACCCGTTGGCCTGACGCAGAGAGTCAGAGTGCTGCAGGATGAAGCGGAGGAGGTTTGGCAAGGTGATGGGAAGGTTGGCGGGATATTTCACACTGAGGTGCTTCCTAAAAGAGAAACAGAAAGATAGCTAACAACCACTCTGTTGGAGAATATGGCAATCTTTTTTTTCTTTTCCTTTTTTAGCTAAACCTCGTTAAAGGGGCAGTTTTATGTGGTTTCCAGGCACATAGTATCATTTTTAATCACAATCAAGTAACCTCCAGTTGTTATAAAAATGTCATATATATAAAATACGACTTAAAAGAAATTTGATTGCAAATACCTGGTGACTGTGACACGGGGTCACTTTACATTTTACTTTACATTTTCATTTAACTTAAAGTAATTTTATTTATTTTCCTCCCATTTCTTTCCTAAAACATGCCACAGATAGTGAGATTGACTAATGTCAAATCACAAATTTTCTGTTCAAGGGGCAGAATTATGTAAAATCAACTTTTTTGAGCTTTATATTATGTTATAATGTTATTCCTTCATCAAAAACACACTTGGAGTGTTGCTTTGATTCTTTCATGCATGTTTGACAAATCCTTTAGTCTCCCGTGGCAACCATTCAGCTGTACAAAATGCCTGGGAGGCCTTAGCTCCGCCTTCAAGATGCAGCTCCTCTTGAGAACTACAGATTCCAAGCTTCCGCTTCACAAAGTGCCCCTTTCATAACCCTCCACTCGGCTCCTTCAGACTAGCCAGGAGCAATTAGCAAACAGCTGGTGGAACTGAACATCTGCTGAGCTCATTATAGGAACTACTGCTCAGTGAAACTCTGGTAAAAACATTGTTAAAGGGTTAATAGAGGAGCCATGTTGTGATGACTTCCTGAAGGTGGAGTTTCTTAAATAGGAGTTTTTAAAAAGGCAGACACTCAATTTGAAGATGTTAAATTACAAAGTAAAATGTTTCTTAAATCATATTTAATACATGCAGCAGTTTATACCAACTTAACTTGATATTGTTACTTAATTCTGCTGTAAAATGGCACTTTGTGGTTGGAAAACACATCATACCACCCTTTTGATGATTAAAACACAGATTTACTACCAGAAACAAAAGGTCATAATAACTCTCCCACTCTGAAAGGGACAACCTGCATTCAGCAGAAATGAAATATTGCTGTGCCAGTGATTCTGACCAGCTGTATAGACCCTCACCTGTGTCTGGGAAACAGCAGGATGGAAGGGACGTGATCCACCATGAACTCCCAGGGAAGGTCGTTACGAGCCACATTCACCCTGAACACAGAACATGGAGCTTACAGTGTTTTCATTTCCACGTGGAACGAGCCTCTGACAGCAGGGCTGACAGGGAAACGGTCAGAGAAAGGGTACCTTGCCACGGTGATGGTGTGGTTCCCCTGCAGCAGTCGGGCCAACTGGATGAGGACGTGGTTGAGAACGGAGCAGAAGCCACACCACTGAGTGTAGTAGAACAACAGCACATCCTGCAACGACAAGCTCACATCACCACATCTACAAAATAACCTTGATCTTTGTTTATTTAACGTCCCAGTTGTTTCTTTGAGAGTTACTTTTTTTTTTTTTTATTTCTTGCTTTATTCTTGCATTTCCAGGACAAAGTTTTTGAAACTGATTTGTTTCCATCAAGCAAATTTATTTTCAAAATGTCAAATTGTGCAATTATATAGTAAAAGGAAATGCAGCCAATGATCCAACTTCTCTCCCTTGATATTTTGATTAAGTTTAGAGCAAAAAGTAATATTCCACTGTGCGGATGGCTCAAGTTCCATAACAAAAAATGATCCCAGCCAATCTGAGTATTTAATTTTTTAAACCTTTTGATGGTCCATGATGGAAGACACGAAGGAGGAAGTGGTCAACTCGGTGATGAGGCGGCGCTGCTTCTGCTGCTCTTCCTCCGAAGGATCGGCTCCACCTCCACCTCCGCCCTCCTTCCTGTCATCCTCTCCGACCAAATGTCTCTGCAGATGGCTGTGCGGTGAGCTGAAGTTCCTGATGAACATCTCTTTGGTGTGACAAAATAATTACATTTTGGGTCTTATTAAAAACACAAAATAAAAAGACAACAAATCACTGTTTATTTTTCAGCAGTTATGAGGCAAAACCTGAAAATGCTGCTCTGCAAGGGACTCAACAGGCTGTTGCTAGGCAACCATAGAGTGAGTTACCCTTGCTATGCTAACTTTGAGAGGTTGAGGAGCTAAAGTCTTTCCTTGGCCTACATCCCCCAGAACTGGATGTGTTCTCTATTGATATTGATCACCTGTCTAATCACGATACATATTGCTATTGATTTATTGCGCAGCCCTGAAAAAAAGAATAACTGAGTCTCTTCATCGCTTTTGCTTTTTGTTTTGTTAAAACTCCACCTGACCCGTTTTTGAGAAGATATCAAAAACCTACAGCCAACAGTCAGCCTTACCTAGAGACTCTGTCAGCGTGGCGTCTGGGTTGTGCTGAAGGACGTAATGAACCTCGTACTTCAGGTTGACGATGGCCACAAACGAACAGTCCCGGTTGCCGTCACCCTCCGTGGAAGCCCCTTTGTGAATAGAAGAGTTTTTTTGGCTCAACGCTCCAAGGCGCTCTGCCAGAGGCCAGTTGAGGCCAATGTCCAGCACGTAAAACCTGAGAGTCCTGTTAGTCCGACAATGGAGCCCCATGATGCCGTCATTCTCTGTCTCCTGGATGGGAGCAGAGGATGGAGGGACAGACAGAGGAGGAGGAAGTCCTGGCTCTTCTTTGGCTTGTGATTGATTAAGCTGAGGTTCTACTGTTTTACAGCAGGCACTGAACTGAGTAAAGGGACTGTAGCTGCTCACGTAGTGGCTGCAGCCCTGCGAGGTCGCGCTTTTCATGGATATGGGAGAGGGTGGCTGGTGAAGGCAGCAGCGGTTCAGATAAGTCTCGAATCGGTCTCCTTCTCGCGAAGCGGAGGGAAACGAGCAGGGAGCCAAGGAGACGGGGAGGCTCGGCCCGGACAGCCTGAGGCAGACCTCGCACGCGCTGGTCCTGGACTCCTGAACGGGAACGGATCGGCAGCACAGCGAGGTGTAGAAGGGGAGACGGTCGTCTGTGCTGGAGCGCTCGCAGGAGTGATAACGTACAGCAATGTCTGCAAACTGAAATACAAAAAAAAGAAGAAGCTAATCATGAACTGAATCGTGACAAAATCACAATTATTTATGGTGGTGTGTTTTTCAAGAGCAGTATCGGTGTTGTGGCGGTACGAATGCTCTGCCACGCCGTGGCAACCATTCAGTTACCTAAGAAAAAGTAGGAATTAGTACATCACTTTCAAATTTTGATGATTCTGAAATTATCCATGTAAGAGGATATATATACAGCATTTTCATAACATCTGAAGATCACAGTTACTTGATTAGGATATAAAATGTCACTGTCTGGCTGGAAAACACGTATTATTAACAACCCTAACTACTTGTTTCTACATGGAGGGGATAACGTTTCCTTACTGGAACATTAGATCCATCTTTGAGAAAAAATTAACAAAAAACAAAGCAAACATCCTAAATTAACTGCAATATTGTTTAGAAGCCATGAACATAATTCTTTGAAAACCAGTCAAAACTGACACATGGTTTAAAATACACTAGAATGTGTCTATCACAGCTGTCTTTGAAAGAGATAAGGTTAAAACTTGAAACCAAAGAATCTAATCAGAAGGTAACCAACAGTGAACCCTGTTTAACACAGGTGATACAGAATGGTAAATGGACTGAAATCATATAGGATTTTTTATTAGTCATAGCAACCACTCAAAGCACTTCACTCAAGGGCCACATTTACCCACACACAAACATGAAGCTGGAATTAAACCAACAAGTTTTAGACTGCTACGTGACTACCCACTGCATCTAGTCTGGGAAACAGTCTCACTGCAGAAAGCATGCCAATTCCTACTGAATCCATTTGCTGCATGAGTGTTCACCTGTTGTAGTATGGCACTTGGCTCAGACTTCAGGGGGTCATGAGGCATAAACAGAAGCAGTGCAGGGCCTTTTGTCAACTCGTCCTCCAGCAGGCGGGACTTCGTCCCCGGAGGCACCAGCCACTGGACGACTGTCTCGTAGTGCTCAAACACCCACTTACAGACGGCCTCCGATGTGAAGTTTAGCTTCTTTCTTGGAAAAATCTGGGTGGGAAAACATATCCACAGTGTGAACAACTGTGAACATGATCAACATTCAATGTTTGAGTTTCAAACAAGGTTGTGCTGGCCCACTGACGCTGCCTACCAAAGAAGAGTTGAATCTTCTGTGCAGGTAAACCGTTTCATCCTCTCTGAGTGAGACGGCCTCTGCCACGTGTTTGCTGGTCACAACTCCAAACCGCACAACGCCATGGAAATCTGCACAGAGTAAAACCGCTAAAGCCACAGCATGCAACTTTTACAAAACAATGTTTTTTTTTTTTTTGACATATTTGTTAAAATTATCACTATGTAGCATGAGACAGACAATATGTGAGGAGAAAAAAAAAGCTTCACTGCCTTTTCTCTACATTCCTGCTGTCATTTGACCCAACACACAGCTAAATCAGAAACAACCAATCAGAGCCAGGAGGAGGGTCTTAGCGCTGTCAATGAACCTCATGTACGCGCCCGCTCATGTCCTCCTGTTTTCCCTCTGTTATGCTACAGCTGGTTCACCACAAAGGAGCCTGTCATGAATGCTAACTAGTTAGCATGACCACCGATGATGGCGGTTCTGTAACGGTGAGTTGTTTTTCCACCATTAGCACACAGAGCAGCACATACCCTAGGATGACTCAGAGCGCTAAGACACTCCTCATGGCTCTGATTGGTTATTTTTGACTTAAACTTGTCGAAAACGTCAATTGAACAAGTTAATTAGTCTAACACAGGTAAATTCACAAAGTGGTGTTTTTACAGCTACTTTTTCCAGGCACTGCTGAACAAATACACTTGATTTACCGCTTGTCAACCTACACTGTAATAGCAGAAACTCTGGAGCATGACTAATGACCAAGCAACCATTGCTATTTATTCACATAGGAAGAGTTAGAGAGCTTCTTCTAAACTATCTGAGAAAGTCAGAAGTAGAATAAAAAGACAGGTGCTTATATTCCCAGGAGTAAAGGACTCGGCAAGTCCCTCCCAAAGTCAGGCTGTACAATGCAGAATTGCTAAAAGCCTGCTAATATGCTAAATGTTAGCATTCAAGGATCAACTTCAATTAGAGGGAATCAACAAAAAGCAGTTTGTAAGTGACTGTAGAAACATCGGTTTTGTCAGGAGCCTCCAATAACCGCAATAATGTTTTGTTATTGATAAAGACATTCAGTTTGTAAAACAGTTGATAAATTATTGCTTCTGAAGGTGGTCCAACCAGTTACACGTGCGCTGAAGCTTTCACTTTACTGTGTTGACAATCTTTTATACTTTGCTTTTTCCTTGTGACTGTACAGAAAATGTCTACAAAATGTGGGGATGATACCATGATCGTAAAGCCTTTACCTCTCCTTAGGGTCTGCAGGGCAGAGGAGAGGTAGGTGATGTACCCTGGAGGCTGTGGAGAGGAATTGAACTGGAAGAAACCCACCACACCAGACTGCCAAAACACAAGACACAGCCGGTTAGAGAACAGGAACCAATGTACAACTGGGCAAACAGAAGGTTTAATACAATAGTCAACAGCATTGCTGAAGCTCCCATGTTTGCAGAGACTAAACCTATAGCATTAGGATACCTCATGCTTGGTCAGGAAGTTTTCGAGGTGCGCTCTGGTCGGGAGGTAAGTCAGTGGTGTGATGACTCTGAGGGTAAAACTTTCAATATATGGAGCCACAAACGGTCCTCTGTACTCGATTGGCCCAAACCTGCAGCAACAGAAACAACACATGAACAACTCAGAGGTACAATTTGGACAGTCAAATGAAATATACCTTATTGGTCATCTATTTATAATGCCAAGGATGGAGTGTCCAAAGTGTTCCTAGCCTACAGTTAAAGAACTTGGCTTGGCTTTTTGAAAACGAATACAATTAAAATCCTCCTAAAATGGGAAACGCAAACTAATGACATGCTTCGCTTACAAACAGGCGCTCCACCCATTAAACGTGGCTAATTAAAGGAAGAGGTTTTGGAGAAAGACTGTCCCATATCCTGTTCTAGTTAAAGAAAATTCACACAAAAAATATTTTGACAAAAATAAAAATAAAAAATAGAATTAGGTCATAATTTTTTTTGTCTAATGATGTTTCAAAAGTCTTTGTTTCATCAAAATATCAAGTACTTAGTTTATTGACATACATAAAAATAATGCAATAGAAGTTGTTTTGATAAAAAATGTTTAAGTCATTTGCTCACATCACTGCTTTGTGTTTTCACACCCCAAACCAGGGTTCTTCCTTACCTTCTGTAGAACAGATGGATGATGGGGTAGTGATAGAAACGTTTCTGCCTCCTGCATTTCCCTTGACTCCACCAGCAGTTAACAGCCACAAACTGCACCTGCAGCACAGAAACCAACAAACTGCACCAGAGAAACTAAACCAAATGAAGTTTTTGATGCAAATTTCTCCAGTCGTGCTGAAAGGACTCCTTCACTTGGCTCACCAAACGAAGGAGTCTGAATTTTTTCTAAAGCGCAGCCACTGCCAAAAGTTTTGAGACTGGCAAATTTATATTCTTTACAAACTTTACTGCTTTTCTTTTATGATGGCAAATTACACTATGTCTAAGTTGCTATGCAGGGTGATCAGGTCAAATTTAAAATGGCAATTATATATTTTCCAGGCATAAAGTAAAGGCGCAATCAAGTAACTATGGTGCCTTCAGTATTTATACAAACGATGTATGTATCGAATATGACTTAAAAAAATTGACTTTGAAATTTAACGCTTTGAAATTGGGCCTCTGTCTCCTTAAGAAACTCTTGCTCTTTCTGACACTCAGCCTTCATATTTTTTAGATATATTGGTATATTTATATCTTTACAGATATATTTATCCCTGTAGATGCCGACAGTACATAATGACAGAAAGAGCCACAGCTTGAAGCTGCCTCTCCACTGGCTGTTTTAACAGCTGGTTCCTACTTAAACCCTCCTGCTTTCAGTGGTTTGTGCCTCCATACCTGTCTGGCCAGCTTCTTAGCAACCTGTGACACTTCCTGTCGAGCAGCCATGGAGTGAGCACACCAAGGAGCATAGAAGAAAATAAAAGACACCTCAGCCATGCTCTTGAGACGTTCCACCTGCAGAAAAAAAGGCAGGAATTTATCTAAGGCACAGAGTTTGCTTCACGTGATGCTAGTCTCAAATCTAAACACGAAGCAGGATCCGATATATTTAATAAAGCGAGCCTTATTTTTGCGCTTCAGTCGCCACACGGCATTACTGATCCTCACCTGGTCTAGTTGACCCAGGTAGAGGTCCACTACTGGGGCATCGGCAGAGAAGAACCGGACCGGAGGCCGCGCCGCCGCCACCACATCCTTAGCGCGGCTACATATGGAAATAATGAAAGGAGTGTGAGGAATGATAATCAATAACATAAACTGGTTGTAGTTCTTTATTAGTAACACAGCAAATCTGCATCAGTCAGAATTGGTTAGTGGCACATAGCAACTGGTTAACCCAGATTCTGTTTTAATTCAATATATAAATGTAAACATCAGCCAGCAGAAAGTACACTGCGGGTTAACTTGTAGACTTTACTAAATTGAAAACAATGTGCATAAATAATATGCTATTCATTGAAGCATTTACAGACTAGAAAAAGTAGGGATTTTCAGTTTTTATGTCTTTAACATAAAAAAAAAAAAAATGTTTTTCACCTGCAGTTCAACGTAAATTGTTTTTTTATGTTTTGCTTGTAAAAGGATCTCAGCAATGTTAGCAAGTCACTCTTGTCTTTGGTATTGTAGAAAAACACAATTTAATACAAACATGTTTTCTTTGGAAATCTTATTGCAGCTAATCACCTGGCATTAATTACATTTCTTGCATTTTTTGCTTCAATTTGAATGCTTCTTTGTTACATTATTAGTTATATGCAGCCACATAACATCACATGAAATATTGGTAACACAGACCAAAAAAATCCATCAGCGCAAATTTTCTTGAACACAATGAGTGAAGATTGGCCTCATTGTTATTATTATCATCATTATTAATAAGAATAAGAACTTGACTTGTCCTATACTCTCACTGTTGGCATCATTATTTTCAGTATTTGTGCCATCTGTGCTGAGCTGAGCTGCGTTCATGTTCTGAGGTCGCATCAAACACAAACAGCATCACCCCAACTACTGAACGAGCTCAGAAAACAGGATATGCTGCACATCATTTGCAAACTGCAATTTGCCTCAGGTCTTTCTTCTGGTAGCCGTGTGCAGTGATGTCTCTCCATCAAGGTGTACAAGAACATGAAATCTGTAGATAAATGGTAACAAACTCACTGCAATTCTAGAAATGAAAGAGCACAGACCACCACGGTTTATGACACACCCCTTCAGGTCACCTCTACTACCCGAACCTTACAGTAGAGCCAGGCTAAGATTTATATTTTTTTTTAATTACGAGAATAAAGTGATAAAGTTACAATAGAGCTGCAATATTAGGATAATAAAGTCATAACTTTAAGAGAGCCTATCCACAAAAAATATTTAAAACATTAAAATGAGGAATGTTGAGCCTCTTGTGAAGTGACACGTTTGGTATAAGTTTTACACTTTTATAGAAATACTTAATCTTTTAACACATCAGCATCAAATTATTATCATAGAAAGACTTTGAACAAAAAAAGAATCACACAAATTCAGTTGGTTGCATCAGATCCTGATAACTATTGTAAAAACTATAAATAAATTAAAAAATCTGAGATTTTATTTTTTTAGCCATGCTGCCCAGTTCAAGATGGAGCTAAAAGCTGGGGGACAGCAGTACATCCAGAACTGTATCCAGACAACCCTGTATTAGAGGAAACGTTGTTATTCTTTTTTTTTTTTTTTTTTTGGATTCCCTTTCTGAACATTTATCCTGATATCTTTCACCGTCAGACCAAGAAAAGCCTGACAACTTCGGCTCTCCATATTCCAGTCGATCAGTACGGCATCAACTGATCAGGAAATGACAGGAATTACTCCATACTGGGCTGAGAATCCAAATCTCTGTGCTGATTCACAAAGAAATGAATTATCTAGCATAGGCAAACAATTATACGAGAACGTTCCAAGAGATTTCTACAAATTCTGCAGACCTCAAGGTGGAGTTTAGTTACAAGGTGTCCAATCTCACAGTTTGGATTCCGTCACCCCCAAGCCATGATAAACTAGCAGTGCTTGTGTGCAAATTAAGCAGTCAGTGGGACAGAGGCAGAGTATACCACAGACAGGTCACCAGTCCCTCACACACACACATACAACTTAAAGATTTATCACAATATTTTTTGTGGCAATATTGTAGAAATAATAAAAGTGACTATAATAACCATTTCTTATTACTGTTTTAGATTACTCTAAAGATGTGATTGCATGGCACAGCAATCATAGCCCCCCAAAAACAGAAATACTGCTTTAGAAAAACATTCCCAATTGGAATGAGAAGAAATCATGCAGGATGAACCTGACGGGGATTTGAACTCACGACCTCTTAACGCTTGTCTTTGCCGGTCAGATTTTATCTTGAGTAACTGGCGTTTCACAGCAGAATGAAAAAGAACCTGTCTTACAGTCTTACAGAACAGCCATAGCTTTAATATTCGGCTCTGCTCGAATCAAATGAATAACACAAACAAGGAATAATTATCCTAAACAAATGAAGTTATGAACTAAAGAACCAGAGACACCAGCTGTTTAAAATGGATAAACTCGATGGTTAATCCTTTTGTCTGTCAGCACACGTCAGATTAGCTACAATGACCGGATAATAGTAGCTCATTACAACCAAACTGTATCACAACTCAGCAAAACAAAGACGTCCTTATCTCTGCTGTTCGGAGTTTGGGCTTAAATTAGTCCCCAAAAGAGCACAAACCTCCCCCACAGAAACGGAAAGTTTCGAGTACCTGCATGTGAACTTAACCGCCAGTATGAGCAGGACGCTGAGCACGATGGCCCCACAGAGAATGTCTGGTCTCCGGGCCATCAGTAACAGCACCTGCCGGAGAGACTGCCGCACCCGGCGCAGCATTACCGCCTCAGGTCTGCTCTCCACACCATTTATACTCCCCGGATGCCGCTCAACGCGTTCATTTGCCTCCCAGGGTAGGAGGGTGACTGGTTCGACCAGGGACAGAGTGGAGCTGGATTGGACATTGGTGTTGTTAGTGTTTAAGGTATTCAAACACAGCCAGTCCAACCTTTCTTCCCCACGTAGACTTTTTACTTCCGCGACAACGGCGTCAGGGAGAGTCCACAAAGCGCACTACGTTGGATAAAGCGTGAAATACGCTGAAGGTTTTTTTTATAATATTATGGATTAAAGGCGTCATCAAAGCTCACGACAAAAAACGCCGAAGATAAGTCGCCGAAGATAAGTCGACCATTTTATAAACAAAATTATTTGTATCCCTTCTGCGTAAGCACGTTTGTGTATTTTTGCGTACAAGCTCGAATCTGCCTCTTTAAGAAAGTCCCTTCAATGGTTTTTACGTCAGTGACGTTGCTGCTACGCTCGCTAAGATGTTTAAACACTAGGGGGCGGTGGTTTTAAAATCAGCAATTTAAGATATGGCTTCAGAAATTGTTCATAATTATATTTAACGTAGACAGTGGCAGTCTGGATTTTTTAAATCCACTTTTAATTTCTTTAAAAGCTTCATATTCAGATTTAACTGGCTTACCCAAACAAAAAAACAAATTAATAAAGATCTAAAAAAAGTTAGGAGTTAACTGGCCTAAATGCAATAAATTATAAAAAATAATGAGACATATATAAGGGCTTGAGCATTAAATATTTTTAACCAACCTTCTATTTTTTTACCTAACCTATTCCTGTGGGAGTGAAAATATCAAATGTTTGTATTCCTGGGGTATTTTCCATAAGATCAGAAAAAAACTGAAAACAACTGAATGCCTTAAAAAACTATTTTATTCATTCAAGAACATAAAAGAGCTCAGTCACAGTGTCAAATTTTAAGTGCAAATAAACATAGTAAAAAAAAACAAACTAATAATTTGTCAATTGGCTTGGTCCAACAATAAAAAAAATGGAAAGACACTGCAACAGTTTTTCTCTGAACAATAAAAGATGTGCAACTGTATTTATCAGCAGCATAGGCAACTAAAAAAAAGCATATTAAACATTTTAAAATATCAATTTCTATCAGCATCTCAAATTTCAAGATTTTATCTTTAAATTCAGTGTTGCACATCTTGCAGCAAAGCAATCTGCTAAAGAAGCCTTCAATGGATTGTTGAAAACTCTCAACAGAGTGAATGCTAAACTATAAACTGCAATAGTTAACACCACGTAATTTCACCAAATCTCATAATACGGAGTTTTGGGAAAGATTTGTAGCAAGTGGATCAGAATAACTCAAACTTCAAATAAAATATTTTGATCTTGATGAAATAGATGTGCATTTCCTCAATGATTAGAAGCTTGCCAACAAAAGTCAAAGAATCATAATGAGAAAAAAAAAAAAATCTTGTTTTGAGTCCTCAATAGTGACCATACAGCTAGTCATGCTCAACTCTTTAATACCATCAGTGTTCAGTCCTGACTTTCCTTCGTGGTATTGTCACTGGGATCCGATAGGCATAGTGGTTTTTAATACACAGAAGACGTCCAGATATCGTAGCAGTGATCAGTCGTTTCTCCAAAAACGGCTTGGAGTCTCTCTTGTTCCAAACTGCAAAGACTAAAGACAGGAAGACGGAAAACCTTTCAAACTTCAGATAAGAAACACTCATCTGAAATTATGGATTAAAAAAAAAACCCCAAAAAGAACCCTTCGGTCCTGCAACTTGGACTTCAGACGGGGCTTTATTTAGGTTGCTGTCAACTCTACAGCATAGCGTAGGGACTGACATATGCAGTCTGTTATCGGGCCCGTGTCTCAGGGTGCATCAGCTGCTGCACCACCAGGTCTATGTTAATGATGGGGCTGAAGTAGAGGGCCCAGTAAAAAAAGCAGTTGCACACAAACTGTGGGATAAAAGGCCACAGGAGGGCAAAGGCGAATCCCTGAGAGAGCATCTTCCACAGGTGGTTCCACATCTTCTGTGGCAGAGTCCTGCAAAAAAAAA